TCTACACTGGCACACATCACTGGTCATCCTCTACACTGGCACACATCACTGGTCATCTTCTACACTGGCACACATCTTGAGAGACCATCTTCCTTTCCTATTGTTACCAGGCACACCATGCTTATCTTGGATCTTCTCTGTTCCAACCCTATAATATTTTACCAACAGAGTATTTAATGATACCTTGGATCTGAGCACACTGCCTCAGAAGTTTGAGACAGAAGGATCAGGAATTCAAGACCAACCCAGGCTGCACAGTAATCAATAAAAGTTGTGGAAACTCTAAGCTAGATATACAGCACAATGGCACAAACTGGCCTAGCATTCAAAAGGCCCTAGAATCCACGGTCAGTAAAAATAACAGTAACAAAAACAACAATAAACAAATTAAAATAAACTGCAGTAATGTCATGAACTCTAACAATGTAGACCACTGATGCATAAATTCTACAAGTGTGCAAAAGCAATGCCAGACATTAATAATAGGGAAAATTGTGTGACTGAGAGATGTTAGACATGGCAACTCTATTATCTGCTTATAAGAATTAATTTTATGTTTCAATCTATGAGGGCCAGGTGTTTGATCAAACACTATTCTAAACATTACCATAAAGATATTTTTAGATGTATCTTTTTTGGGTTTTTTTCATTTTTCATGACAAAGTTTCTCTGTGTAACATCCCTGGCTGACCTAGAAGTTAATTTATAGACCTGGCTGGCCTTAAACTCACAAAGATCCGCCTACCTCTGCCTCCCTGGTGCTGGGATTAAAAGGCATGCACCACAGCTGTCTCGTTAGATGTATCCTTTTAATCCATAAATCTGGGATCAATAACATAAGTGAACTATATCCAATAAATTGAAGGCTTTCTTATGAATTCAGAATCAAGACTGTATTATCAACTTTTATCTGAATTTCAAGCTACCATGGTGCCCTACACTCATTCTGTTCCCCTCTCCCCATCTCTCTTTCCCTCCCCTTCTCACTTACCCTCCATGTAATGTACATATACATATGCACATATGTACACATACATGTTGAGTCATCACTATATCACTTCAAACATAGACCCCCACATGTACCAGTCCATACCATAAACAATAAGTATGGAATAGGCTATACCATATAGATTTGTTTATATACATTCCGATGATCACACAACCATGGAACTGCCTAACAACACATTTCCTGGTCTTAAGTGATACATAACTCTGTGGGTATAAAATTCTATTACTTTTGCTTCTCTGGAAAACCTTGACTAAATTGTTCCTCAATTTTTATAACTCTAAAATTGCTCTAAAAGTCAACTCTTCTTTAAAAAAAAAGGGGGGGGGGCAAGTCAAGTGAAAGCAGGAAAAAAGCACAAGCTGAATGGAGAACAGATGGTACACCAGTACAATAAAGGGAAACAATGTACACAGTGACAGACACATAAATAAATGTCCTAAACACCCCAAATAAAAAGCAATTTCACAACAAAATGCAAGAGTTACATATATGATAGCAACACAAAAAGACAAAGAAAATTAAAGGGACTAGAAACGCTAACACATATAAACACTAATCAAAATTTAATCTGTAGTTGCCATATTACTACTAAAAAGGTACACTCCAAGGAGGTAAAAATCCAAACAAATAAGAGAACTAGAGACATGTATGTCATAATGAGGAAGGGTAAATTCTTCAGCAGCGTGTAATAATCTTAAATGTATTTGTACCAAGTGAAAATGCTGGGGGAAAAAAAAAACAGAACAAACTAAAACAACTAGAAAGAAAAAAAATCCATAGTTAAAGCTGGAGGTTTCAATACTTTTCATACTACTGAATAGAGTAAGAACACAGAAAACAGATAAAGGCATAAAAGACTTTAAAGTATCAATTCGACCTAATTTACTTTTACATAGTCCACTAAATAGCCATTTAACATCTTTTTATGCTTCAAGTATTCATTATTTATTTTGACTAAATTTTAAATTACAATATAACTAAATCACTTGCACCTTCCCTATCTTCCCTCCAGCCTCTCCTATGTCCCCTCCCTCTAACCCTTTCCATCTCACTCTCTCACTCCCTGTCTCTTTCTTATCGTGGTTACAGAGATCACTACATAAATATATAAATATATCTGAGCCACTTAGAATGGGTTGTGTGCACAGGATTTCATGGCTAACCACTTGGTACTGGATAGCCAATCTCTGAGAAATACGAATTCACCCTCTCTCAGCAGTCACTGGAAACTCAGTCAACTACCTGGGGCTAGTGGGGTTACAAATCTTAGAAGTGAACCTACCACCGCCACCTTACTAGACCCAACCGCATTCTAAACCTTACACCCACAGGTAAGCGCAGCTCTCGTCCATCATCAAAGAGGCTTCTCTTTACAGAACACCACAATAGGCCATAATGCAAAGATCAACAGATCATGTGGAGCCCAGCAATAAAGGACAGAACTACAACACAGCTCCTGCACCTAAGGCTCAGGGAATGTCCAGGAAAAGGGGCAAAAAGATTCGAAAAGCCAGAGGACCAGAAAGACTGCTATGACATTATGTCTCCCAGAAATGACAGGAAAACTTCACACAAAACCTCAATAGTGTGGCTGCCTAAACAAGACCTGAACCACGATCTAATGAATAGGCATGCTTTAGGCAATTCAATACCTCTGTAAAGGGCACAGAAAACAGTCACAAAAATAGCTGATATCCCAGGCCATAAAATAAGCCCAGTGAATTTTAAAGGATTGAAATCATATAAACCAAGTCTTCAACTACAATAACAATAATCTAAAATTCAATGAAGAAAATCTCTTGCAAAAATCTACAATTGTGAGCTGGACATGATAGTGCACTCCTTTAATCCCAACAGAAGCAGAGGCAGGGGAACTCTGTGAGTTCAGGGAAAGCTGGTTTACATAATAAGATCCAAGCCAACAGGGCTACACAGTGAGACCCTGAATCAAACAAACAAACAAACAATAAATAAACAACTGTTACTTTTTTTTTTTTTTACTTACTTAGTGGGGGAGACAGGAAGGAGGTAGGTAAGGGAGAGAACAAGAAAAAAGGAGGACTTCTGGGAAGGTAGGGAAGCATGGGAGAGCACAGCAACAGAGGCAAGTGTATGGGGTCAGAGGACAACTCCCTCAAGTAGTTCTCTCCTGCCACCTTGTGGGATCCAGATAAATAGGCCTGTGTATAAGCAACTCTACTCATTGACCATCCCATAAGCCACCCCTGTGGACTACATCTGGAATTGACTAAAAACTCTGTGAAGGATTTTTTTTTTAATTAAATCATTTGAAGTGGGAAGACCCACCTTTAATCCAGATCTTTTGAGGTGGGAAGATCCACCTTTAATGCGGGCCACATCTTCTGGTGGCCACCTATAATAGGGACATTGAAGAAGGAAGATTTTGCTTTGCCTGCTTGCCCTTGCTCTCACTGGCAAGTTCATTCCTTCACTGGCATTAGAACCTACTTCTTTGGGATTCCTGTGTATACCAAAGACCAGCTGAGATCTCCAGTCTCATGGACCAAACAACTACTAGATTCTGGGATTTTCTGTTGGTAGACAGCCATTGTTAGACTAGTTGAACCACAACTAGTAAGTCATTCTAATAAACACCCAAAAGATAGATAGACAGACAGACAGACAGAGATAGCAAGATGGGTGGATGTGGG